CCACTCTCAAACCCTTCAGTAGCAACCAAGAGTGCAAAGAGAAGAGGAGGAAAGATGTGTGCAACAAAACCCTGGTTTGCTGTAGCTTTGGGCAAACCCCATTTAAACTGTGCTTCCACACCACAGCGTAGGAACTCTCCTCCTTTTTTTGGTGTTTCCTGGAATGGCAGGTCCAGAGACTGCATCAGACAAGGTGCTTCTGTGGGGAGTCTCTAGGTATTACTGCAATATTAAGTATTAAAGTCCTAACCAGTAAAGAACACTTCTAATGATCACAAACTGCTGCTGGCCTGCACTTCAACGTACTTATCACATACACTGGGATCCAACAGCAAAACTGCTCTGCACAGACAAGCTCAAGGCTCTACCTTCAATCCATTACATAAAACAGTAAATCTCCCTAAGCTCAGCTCCCGGGGCAGCCCCTTCCCCTCATTTCAGAAGTCTATTGACTTATTTATCTGCAGGCGAATGCACGTCTCACCAGCCTCGGCTGTGAGGTGTGGAGAGCAGGAGCTGCAGGAGCAAACACTCATTTGACACTGCACTTAGGAGCTGGCTGACTTGGCACACTTGCCCGAGAGCTGGGTTTGCAGATCACAACTCACCCAGATAACACATCTTCTCCACTCAGCCTAAACAGCAGCATGTTGTGGTCTCACCACTGTTCTTTCCCAGAAAAGCATTTAAGACAATCGCAGCTACAAAGGCTGGTAAGTATACACACACCCTCCACCCTCCTTGGCATGCACTGTTTGGGATCTTGGAGCTGAGACATGGTAATTCTTAGGAGAGTCAACGTCTGTGCTGGGGGAAGACCTGTAATTTAGTTTTTCTTCCCTAAAATGGTCTTGCTGATGGGTGTATCACTGGAGTCTGGAAAGTGGTGGCCCTAAAAACAGCTACAAAACCTCATGCCTTAAAAAAAATAAATATTTATCTATATACACACACACACAAAGCAGCAGCAGCTCCTCCAGCACATGAAAACCAGAGATGACAGAGAACCTGCTGCTTCAGACTTAGCAGGGACTGAAAGTCAAAGAAAATATTCTTTGACCAGTAAAACTAAATTTAAAACTATCAGGTGGATTTAACACCTGTGTATTTTATAGTGTTTGTTTCACTGTGCCTTTCATCACCACGCATGAGGGTTTCCACTGCATGACAAGTGACTTTCCACGAACAAACATTTCCTCCCTCCCAGGGACTTTCTGACTGCAGCCTGCCCGAGCCACCCTGCCACCGAGGCTGCAGCAGCAGGACACTCAGGGGATGCTGTGGCTGTGAGCATGTTACTTGCTCCAACTTCCCAGTGCCAAAGGGAGCTTTATTTCTGTGTGAGCCAGCACACAGCTGAGAATAGACTCGGGTTTGCTATCCTGGACAACTGCAGCACAAAATTAACTCCCTAGTTGTACCACAAACATGCCTCAAACCAGAGTGAAGGCATGCCACCATCTTTTTTTGTTTGCAAGAACTGGGAACAGCAGCAGCTGAGAAATAACTGCAAGCAGCAACATTCTGAAAGAAACTGCACATGGACAGTGAGGCCATCCTGCAAAAAGATGGGGCAAGAAGAGTGGAATGCATGTGAGCACGCCAGTAGAGCTTTGCTGGGTCCAGCCCCCGCAGCTTCAGTGTCTTCACAGGTTGCATGTGGCCAGCTGAGCCCCAGGAACTTAATGACAGTGGTCTCCTCTGGACTTGCTTCAACAGCTCCATGTCCTTCTTATGTTGAGGACATCAGAACTGCACACAGTGCTGAAAGGATGTCACGAGAGCAGAGCAGAGGGGCAGGATCACCTCCTTTGACCTACTGGTCACGCTCCTTTTGATACAGCCCAGGATACGGTTGGTTTCTGGGCTCAGGCGCACACTGAAGCTGGCTCATGTTCTGTTTCTCATCAACCAACACCCCCAAGTCCTTCTCCGCAGGGCTGCTCTAAATCACTTCTCCTGGAAATGCTGCAGTACCTAAGCCAGAGACACTGCAGCAGCATCAACGTGCATGGGGAAAACCCAAAGCGTGTCACACGTGCTCACCTTGATCCTCTCGATGCCAGCTTCGATGCGGAGCTGCTCCACCAGCTTGCGGGCCTGCGCTATGTTGTTAGTTGTTGACATTGTCTGCCATTGGCTCCAGGCCCCAGCACACGAGAATACTGCAGAACAACAAGGGGAAGATGGGGGTTTACATCGTGTGTGAAGCCGCTGTGCCACAGGGCACCAACCTCAAACCGGGCTGGGCACCATGTCCTCAGTGACGGCCACACGCAAAGCTTCCACAAGCTCTAAAGTGATGACACCAACTTAACGTTTCCTGATTTTGCTTCAAGTTCTCCTTTCCTTTAAGCAGCACTCTTGGTCCTGGTGGCCTCTTTTCAGGCTTTTTTAAAAATTAATTAAAAAAACCCCCACACCAAAGAAAACACAACCAAAACCCCACAAAAAACGAGTCAACCAACCGAAAACCAACCAACCAACCAAAACCCCACAGAAACTTACTTAAAAATGAAACTTTTTCTGCAGAAAGTCCTGCCAGATGCATTCAACTGAGTGGAAAAGCAAAGAGAAATCTTCCAGCCTGTGTAACGTGCCTGCAGCGAGGTGGGGGGAAGGTAGATGGGAATGATGCTGGACTGTGAGCACACAGAGTCCCTGGATGTTCACCCCTGCTTTTTATCTACTTGTTGCACCACTGCCTTTATTCTGCCCTGTGTCAGGATTTCCTCTGCAAAAAGAGGTTCTAAGCAGCAACTAGAAACACTCAGTACTACACAAACTCAGACTTAAGCTATTTATCCATTATTTTGCAAATCGATGTCCCTCAAAAGAGTAAGAAATTAAGTGAAAGGGATGGATGGTCCCAGGCTGGGTGGAAAGCCAGGGCTCAGGCAAGGGACAGAGGTTTCTCAGATGCCAAAGCACAGGATGGAAGCAGGGGACAGGCAGTGAGGCACAGGCACGGACATGGCTGGATATGAAAGCACTGGAGGCACCAATAGCTCATCTCTCATGGCAGGGAGAATGCGGGTGGTTAAACAACCTTCCTCGACATTTAAAAGCAGCAACTGGAAAAAGTTTGTCTACAAGACCAACATAATCCATTCCTGTCACAGCACACAGGGCTGTGGCACACCGGAGGGCAGCTCCAACCACACCGTCCAAGCCAGACTCCCCTGGTCAGACATCGTTCTTGGGTCATTTCTTTATGGTCATCTCCGTGGGGCTGCTGCAGAGGTGTCAGGAAAAGTCACTTCCTTGCTCTGCCCAGCAGTGACTCAGCCCCTGATCATTCAGTAACGGTGGGGAACAGTGGGAGGGGAAGAATGAGCACCCAAGTACCACCTCCCACCACCTGACAAACATGAGATGCAGGGAGGAGGAAAGAGCCAAAGCAAACATAGGGTCAGATACTGGAGGGCTCCCAGTGCTCCAGACGCCCACTGCAGCCCTTCTGTGCTAGCTTTAATTAGATAGAGACTCTTTCTTCTCCCTAGGACCAGCAGCTTCAAAGCAGATACTGAACCGTTGCCTTTACTGGGGGGAAGAGAGAGGGGAGTGTCTGCCCCATCTAAAATCCTAGCAGACTTGAGCTGTCTCGCCTATGCTTAGACATTAAGGGAGTTTATTCCAGACCACAACGGCACTCTTAGGGAGTATTTTGCTTGGCAGCAGCATGCAATGCATGCTGAACCTTTCAATCCCTGAACAACACTCAGTTTCGTTTGCTTTCTGAATGCTGTGGGAGAAAACAAATGGTGCTTCAGACAGCATTACCAACTCTGGCATGGGATGACTCCCTGAATTAACAGGGTTATTCGGAAATCTCCACCTCTCCAGTCCTGGAAGATGTTAGTCAGGGTGACATGGGAAGCCATGCTATTGAAATAAAGTCTGGTACTGTGGAAACTGGGAGAGGGAAGCAGCCTGGTCCCATAGGGAAGGATCTTTCTCTCCGATTTGAAGCATTTCAAAACAGCTCAGGCAGCATTAGGGCTGGGGAAAAACTGTCTCAAAGTCAAGTTCTTTCTATATCTGGACCACGAACTTGAAAGACCTCCCTACTGCAAAAAGTTCACTCCTCACTGACAAAACAATTGTTCACTTAGATTAAGAGTTAGCAAGCAGCTGGAGAAAAAAACCCAACCAGATACGACTTCTGTTTGCAGCAAGATCACCTGCTTGTACTTTCCCAGCTTCCTGTTTATGGAACAAGGCTGATGAATCAGTCGAGGGCAAGTTACTTAAGGGAACTCCTGCCACAGCGCTCGTGTCCTGGTCCCTGCAGCATCCCACAGCTTGTGATTCATAGGGGACCCCAGCCTGGCTGAAGGAAGAACGTGTTTTATTAAGTACAGTATGGAGAATCCTGCTGTGTGGCAGGAATTATCAGTGTCTTAAAAGTCCTTGGCAAGGGGGAGGTTTTACTTCCTACTCTGCATATCACCCATAGAAAGCTATAGGTTTCATGGAGTCTTTGCAAAGCGAAAGCAACACTTGTAAATCAGAAATAACACTTTGAGTCATTACAGCACCAAAGCAGGCAGCTATCTGTCCTCCCCTGCCCCTCTGCTGACAATTGCTTTCCAGCATCATTGTCATCTGCCAGCCAGCCAGCCCCTGCTTTGCCTCTGGCAGCAACGCACTTTGCCTCTCCCAGGTGGAAAGAGCAGCATCAAACCCCACTGAGGACAGGTTTAGCAGCTTTATAGCAACAGAATCTGCAGCAGCAGCTTCTACTTCCTCCTCAGCTGCCCTCAGCCAGTGACCTCGACACAGGGCTCCCTGCGTGTCGCACTGTTGGTACAGTTCCTCTTAAGAGTGTTCTACATTTCCAAGTACAAATTTCAGTGGTTGAGCTCTTAGAAATATTAAGGGGAGTCTGGCTGGATGCTGCCCATCTTGTGCATCCCTAAGGCTCCTCAGCATCTCCTGGTCCAGACCTGCATAGGTTCAGTCAGCACCGAACTACAGCCATGTGCTCCTCGGCTGTGAGAGATGAAGCAGGACCTGCATCACTTTTGAGTCCAGGCACAGGTCAGGGAGCAGGACTGCTCTATCCAGACAGAGCTCAAAACCTGCTTCTGTTACTGTGGAGAATAATTAACTATGCATGTCATTAGCAACTGGAGCCCATCGATGCAAAAGATGCAGTGGTTTGGTGCATGGCACAAGGGGGGTCCTTGGGGTTTTTTGAAAGCCAAACCAAACTTTAAAGATGGCATTCGGCAGACTTAGAGGGGTGTGTAAATAACTCGTGAGGTAGAGGAATTCGGAAAAGCCATGCAGAAGTGGAGTGAAGTATGTGTGATGCAAATCAAGATGACACGCAGGATGCAGCTAAGTCGTGCCTTCTCCAATCTGTTTTAAAGAAATGGGCACTGGAAAAGGACAGGGAGATGACGTCTGCAGCTGGGCCTGGGGAAGCAGCACAGGACAGTCAGGACACTGAGGTCTCATGCACATCCTCCTGCCACCACTCTGTCATTTCATTGTGGAGAAGTAACTCACACAGCTCGGCTTCCTTCCTGCAAGCCTCTGGTGTTCAGCCACGACTGACCTCCTCCTGCTCCCGCCTGCAGAGCGTGGCCAGCGCCTGGCCAGGGCAGGCTTCTCCCTTCCTGGTGTCTACTCGTGACTCTGCAGAATGACAACGCCACTTGCGTTTTGCCAAGTCGTGCACGGACATCATTCAGCAGGAAATAAATCTTCCTGCATCTTTGCCCAA